GCAAAATGAACAATATATCTCAGCTAACAAACTATAATGACCAAATGTAGTATTTACAGAATCTTTGTTCATTTTATAGGTGCAAACGAAAGCAGAAATTCCAAGACTCCTCCATCACGCGCTTCAGCCAAGTCGAGGTGGCTATAAGGAACACTAAGTAGTTAACGTCAAGGAGCTAGCTGTAGGGATCAACAAGTAGTGCTTTGGCTTTGGTATACTGAATACTGACTACTTCACATCAAGCTAGGACAAACATTGATGACACGGTTATGCTGCAGATACTCGCTGCAAGTGTAGATGTAGTAAGGCTGTTAACATTGATATTTCTGTACAGACTACTGAGGCAGAAATTAGGAACTGGAGGGGCCACAAAGATGCAAAGTCTTTGTTATTTGAACCATGAATAAACTTATAGAAGCACATTGTTGTATACCAATCAAAAAACTAACATTTCAATGAAAGTTCTTTTCATCAATGCCTGCTTTAGATGTATACAAGTACAAAAATTCTTCCTTTACNAAAAAATTCTTCCTTTACTACAAGTTTGCATGACCATCTGGTTCTGCATTGGCTTGTGATGAAAAACAACATTTAGCAAGACATAGAAACTGCAATAGAGCATGTCTAAAAGCTCAAACTTTTCAGCACAACCTAAATGCTAGTTAAGATTAAAGATTACCTTTAAAAAGGTATTTATGTTCATTCTTTGGGTTGACTAATATACATCTGTCTCGAAAGATCAACAATATTCTTAAATAAATGCAGACTTTAGCGAAAAATAGGACACAATGGAAGAAAAAAATTTATGTAGGCAATACCAATTAGATGGGAATGTTTGTCATGTTAATACGTTTACTTTAGGTTCTATACTTTCTGACAGTCTTTTAACCCTATAAGAAATTCTTATACCAGTTGGAAATATAGAAAATTTCTGGTACTTCACATGGTCAGTGAAATTTCATATAGCCGATCCCAACTTGTTTGATACTGAAACATAATTATTGTTGCCGTTAAATACAAATTTAGACATTATTTGGTTGCGAGACTTGTTCAAGAACAAGTGAAGGGAGGTATATGCAATGCAATGTAAATTAAAGGGGCTATTGATATAATTTTGAGGAGGAACCAATCATTTGAGGGAAATCTTGAGCAGAATGCAACCCTTCACGCACACACACCCAAACCATCTTTTGATGGTCAAATATTTGTCAAATCCTTGAAACTAATGCTCTATAATTCCCAAGAAAAGTTTAGATTATTTAGATTTTTGTCTTTTGAAAGAATGGACACCATTCACTTAATACCCTTGATGTTTTAGACTTGCAGAATATTCATGTCATTTACAACACAAAAATACTACTAAAAACAGTAACAAATTAGTAGCAAAATATTCCAGAATAGCTTCTGAAATATCTACACGAGAAATTTGCCCTCTACTAAGCCACAGTTTTAGCCAGATTCCACCATATTCCAAGTTTTCAACACCAAAAATTACATAGCAGTAGCCCATTCCAACCACCAAGAATTTTTGGCCATTACCAGAAAGAGTCACAGATATGTCCAATGCAATACCGGCCATCTCTAATGTTGTGGCAATGCAGGGGTATATGACATAACCAGGTAAACAGTACTAAATACATGCAAACAGCAACGTACAGAGTTCTGTTCTTGAGACCCCTGTCCATATGAGCTTAAATCTCCACGTGCAATTTCTCCGGCACAATAAGTTCCTGAGAAGGTAACCCCAGGGAAGTTCTCCAAGAAAGGTGAGCCGTCTACATTAGGTTCACCAAAAAATAACTTGCCACGGCCACAACAAGCAAACATAATACCACCAAAAACAGACTTCTTATTATGCATATCTAAACCATTGCCATTAGTATGATCATCACTTTGGTAGTTAAGATCTTGCTTCAAATGTCTGAAGCTGTTTGATACATAGTTGCAAGAAACACGTGCCAAATCAGATTTTGCCTGGTAAAACTGAAAGGAGTCTCCACTTCTGATACCAACACCATGGACATATAGATACTCCTCATCACCTCTGCAAATTATTACAATTAGTTATAGAAGTGAGGAGGACAAGGAAAAGCATACAAGGCTTTCAGCATAATGATTGATTTCAACAAGATACTAAAACGCTTTTCCATGTTAGCAGAAACAAACTTAAGTAACAAACGGACTTCACAACTCTCTCGAGAAAAATTTATGGAAACTTTTTGGAGAATAACCTCCACCGGCATGCTTTGCCTATTCTTCACCTCGGGAAGCCAAAAAGGTTGTTTATATAGACTATAGACAGCAGAACATGACAAAATGAGGAACATTCAAACACCATATGTGAAGACCAAAAAGGCATAATCAAGCGTGATGGTGCGTGCATTAATCACCTTAAAACCTCATGGAATTCATGCATATTTATCCAGCTTGGCTTTTCCTTCCCAATAGAGCATTTCCTTCTTTTTGTAACTCCAACATAGAGAGCTGGACAATTGATATGACCACCGAGCTGGTGAAATAAAATCATAGAAAAGAAACATCTCAAGTCAGAGAAGAGTGCGAAATTTTGTTCAGTGGGTTTCAGACACACACGTGATGGTAGATGTACACTTGCATTTCTGAACTTAAAATGCTTCACTACGGTGGAAGGAATCAAGGAAAAGAAAACAAGACGAGTTACACACACCACAAATCGTGGAAGTATTTGATAATTTCCTTTATTGTGAATTACTTCGTTCAGAACTGGTTTAAATTTACTTCACAAGATGTACTACCTTACCTCATCATAAATCTGATCTAAAATAGTCTGACCATCCAGACTCTCGCGCACTGCTTCTCTTTTCGCGGTGAGCCAAGTGGAATAATCTTTAGGTCTCTCCCTAACAGAAACAGCTTTGTATGCAGGTCCAATTGGTGAAATGCCAGTGGATAACATCACATGAAACTGAGTTTCCCCAACACCTGTTTACAGGTTCCCAGAAAATGATTGCCACAATAAACTCCCTGGAAATATAATATACTAAATTACCTAAAGAGATGACAGTATAAGCAGAAGACAAGGAATCTAATACTTTTAACTAGATAAGAGTCTAATATATTTAACTATATTTACTCATATAACTGCAAAAGAAACATCAGCACAACTTTAAGAATTTATGATAATTTCAAAAATACTAAGGATATGTACTTCTAACATCAGCAACTATACAGTGCTCAAGCTATAAATAATCATAAAATTTCATACAAACTCAACAACTCGGGTTAGTTAAGCCTGTATATTCATCATCTGATGATTAAACAGTTATCTATTAACACAACTGAGAAACCAAATAATACACATGCCCAATCTCTCTTTCTCTTTCACTCTCTATATCAGACTAGCATAGGTGGCCCGGTTCTCTCTGACCCGAATGCCTTATAAAACAGTGCTCTTGTTAATGAACAAACAGGATCATAATTTGAAACCGCAAAGTTTCAGTTAAGATATAATTGCATACCAGAAGGCTTGCCTCTATCCGTTGAAAATAAAAGAGCAATAGCAGCTGAACTGGACGCTTTGTTATTAGAACAGTTAATTGCTGTATCACCTCGGTATAAAAACTGAGAACCTCCGTCACCCACAATGACAGTCTCAGAGGAAAAAGCATAATCTACAAACACAAAATGGCACACTGAAAATATAACTTGTTTCTCACAGAATCAACATAAAGGTATATGAGTTTTGCATAAATAAAAATTATGAAGCTTACTCACCCAACTTTTCAAGGACAGGTTTGATGTCAGTGTCCTCGTCCTAGAACAACATTCAAATGATCCTTATTACAGTTATTATTTTGAAAAAGGTAACAATGATATTCTTCAGCACCCATAAAACGGGGCTGGTATCTAATATTTACAAGTACAGCCCCTGAAAATCTTACAGAGAATCAAAAAGATCTAGTAGTGATTCTACATCACCTATCAACTGTTCTTTACACCAAAAATGAAAAAGAGAAATACAAGAACTCTTGATTTTTTGTGTTGAACTGCTCTTGCCTTCAAAATATCTTGCATTCCTCTCCTTCCAAACTGTCCACCATATGCAAGCTGGAACAATCTTCCACTATTCCTTGAGACCAGAGGCGGATCCAGGATTTAAAGTTTATGGGTTCTTATAGCGACCTTAAATAAATATACAATAAGTAAATGGGTTCACAATCAAATATTTATGGATATTTAGTAGATTTTGTAATATATATACAGAGTATATACAAAAGCTACTGAGTTCCCGGGAACCCACATGTAATAGGCTGGATCCGCCCCTGCTTGTGACAGGTTCTTCCCCTAATACTGTTCCAGCTGCATATCAGGCCAATGGTGTCTTTGGGCATTACCCAAACAATACCAGCTAGTGCTATAAAGAGCTGCCAAAGTTGTCTAGTAATAACACAATGTAAGAAAAGATGCTCATGGGTTTCATCTTCCTGTTGACATAGAAAGCATGTAGAGCTGGTCTGAATACTTCTTTTTTGGAGAATTTCTAGAGTGAGGCAGGCTTTTCTTACCACTAACCATGAAAAGCAAATAACTTTGAATGGTGCTTTGATCTTCCAAATCTTTTTTCAAGGCCAAGGATAGTTGGGGTGTCCTCTGGATGATAGATAGTTGTATGCTGCCTTGAGTGTAAATTTAGAGCAACAATTTGAATATTGTTTAGAACAAAACTGAGGTCCTAAAATGTTCTCTTATATAATAGAATAATACTCTCTCTCTCAAAGGGGAGCCTTCAAGTTGTCTCCGTGTGACCTATATGTCACGGGTTCAAGCCGTGGAATCAACCACTGATACTTGCATCAGGGTAGGATGCCCACATCACACCCTTGGGGTGCGGCCCTTCCCCGGACCTTGCGTGAACGCGGGATGCTTTGTGCACCGGTTGCCCAATACTCTCCCTATCTCAATTATGACACTTTTTAATTTGGTACAACAGCAACAACAAAAACTACTACTACTACTATTACTACCAGGGGTGTTCATTGTTCGGTTTGAATCGGTTTTTTCCTAAAAAGTAACCAAACCAACTAAGTCGATTTTTTAAATATTGGAACCGAACCAAACTAGTTAAGTCATTTTTTATTGATTCGGTTTATGTAGGTGTTTTCAATTTTTTCGGTTATTTATCGATTTTTTCTTAAATATGAGATATACACTACCAAACACATATTCCGACGATTACATTTTCAATGTAACATTATCAAACCAATTGTTATTTGAGATATCTATCATTTATCAAGATATATTGATGATAATTGAATCAAATAATGGTGAATAATTTAAGGACTCAATTAAAAATAGATTATTTTTAACATGAAATAGATTCTTGTATTTAGCAAAAGAAACTACCAATCAAACTAGAATGTAAATGCAAGAAACTAGATTATTATAATAGCAAAGAACTATATTAGAATAAGGGTGGCAAGTGGGCCGGTCCAGGCCCGGGTATATATGATATAGATCTGAAGTATTCGACATAGGTATGTTATTTTTATAATGAATTATCGAGAAGCTAGTGTGAAAAATACTGGACTTGAAGAGGTAGATATACCTCAAAATCTTGATTTATTAAACAAATGGACAATTCCTAAAGTCCCTATTAAAACAATTTATGATTATGGATGGTTTGATAAACTTTCTTCAAAATAACTAGTTAAAACTACTGAGCAGTCTTTAGCTTTAAACTCGTCTGAACAGACTATTCGGTTGTTAAACAAACAAGATGTAGATTTATATAAAAATCAGTATAATTATCTGCATGTTGGTATGGTTCAAATTGCTTTTAAGCCATTAACCCTTAAAGGGTTACCAGAGACGTTTTTGGCTGCTCTAAGAGATGCTAGAAATCTGAATTTTAGACAGTCTCTGATGGGTTCTATTGAATCTACTGTGGCCTACGGTCCAATATATTTTAATACTCAATCCAATCTTCAATTATCTCTTTCTGATGTTAATATACTTGATGCATTGACATTAAATGTGAAAACGCATGGTTATAATTATGCGCCTGGATCTGAACTTATATGTTTATCTTATAGAATTTATTTTAAATTACTATCTACATTAAACCCTAGATGTAAACTGTATGATACATCCGATCAGACTATATTGGTGGAAACCAATTTTGCAAAGTCTAAGGTCACCACGAGGAGACCTATTAAGTGGGAAGAAATTAATTTTCCAACTACTTGGACTTTGGATTCTGTTATATCCCCAAGCCAGCTAACAAATGCTGTCAGTAGTACTAAATATTCTCATATTACTCAAAATCCGGATGGTAGGATTTGCATTCAATTTGATGATAATAGTTTCACTTATAATAGGCAGTCATTTTCTAATAATAGACTTTTGCCTGCTATTAGTCCTAGTTATAATATGCATTCATTTACTAATCGTAGATTGTTGCCTGATATTCAACATATTTCTCCTGTTGAACCAGTTTATGGACCAGCTAGAAATCGTGTTGCATTATTGCATACAATTTCTACTAAAGTTAGTGATAAGCCTGTTGAAAGGGTTAAGATTAACCCTCAAACAAATATTGTTCAGGATACTGATAATATTCCTGATAAGGATATTCCTTCTGCATCCGAAATGGATTTCAACCCCAATGATATTTAATGATTTCACACCAAATATGTAACGACCCGGCCGGTTATTTTGAGAGTAATAGCCCCGATCCCCTATTAACTACTTTCCCCAAATCTTTTTCTGCTATTGTGACTTTCCTGGATGATTGGTTTTGAGTTTCGGAGTGTTTTGGGACACTTAGTCCCTAAATGAGAGCTTAAGCCTTAGGATTTGGACCGTAGTTGGAACTGTATGAAGACGACTCCGGAATGAAATTCTGTCGGTTCTGTTAGCTCTGTTAGGTGATTTTGGGTTTAGGAGCATGTCCGGATTGTGTTTTGGAGGTTCGTAGCTCATTTAGGCTTGAAATGGCGAAAGTCGAATTTTTGGAGTTTTGGGCCGGTAGTGAAATTTTTGATATCGGGGTCGTTTTACGATTCCGAAAGTTAGAGTAGGTCCGTAATGTTGATTATGACTTGTGCACAAAATTTGAGGTCAATCGGACGTGATTTGATAGGTTTCGACATCGGTTGTAGAAGTTTGAAGTTTCAAGTTCTTTAAGTTTGAATTGGAGGGTGATTCATGATTTTAGCATTGTTTGATGGGATTTGATAGCTCGACTAAGTTCTCATGGTGTTTAGGATTGGTTTGTATGTTTGGTTGAGGTCCTGGGGGGCCTCGGGTGTATTTCAGATGCTTAACGGGTGAAAGCATGGACTTAGAGGAATTTTTGATTTTTGCTGGTTCTGGTGTTTTCGCACCTGCGGTGGGGAGTCCGCAGGTGCGGCCTCGCAGAAGCGAGACTTGCAGGTGCAGATGTGAGAAAGTCGAGAGTTTCCCTAGGGTCGCAGGTGCGAGGAAGTTCCGCATCTGTGATGCACGCAAATGCTCAAGGCTGTTCGCAAATGCACAGAAGCGGAAGGGATGTCCGCAGGCGCGCGCGCGCAGGTGCGACCCTTTCATCGCAGGTGTGAAGGAAGAAGGGGTAAGTGATTTGCGCATATGCGCATGTTTTCCGCACAAGCGCACCCGCAGGTGCGAGCCCAGGTTCCGCAGGTGCGGAAATACCTAGGCAGTGATTAAAACCGAAGGGCTTCGCGATTTTTATCATTTTGGCTTTGCAAACTCGGGTTGGGGCGATGTTTAGAGCATTTTCGAGGCATTTCTTGAGGTAAGTTCCTTGTGCTTATTTTTGGTCAATAATCTTGCCTTGCCATGTATTTTTCCACCTAGTTAATGCGTATTTAAGGTGGAAATTGGAAGTTGGAGACTAGGGATTTGGAAGTTTGAATTGTGGATTGGAGGACCATTTGGTGTCGGATTTTAGTAAATTTGATATAGTTAGACTCGTGAGTGAATGAGCTTTCTAGTTTTGTGATTTTTGTCGGGTTTCGATATGTGGGCCCCGGGGGTCGGGTTTGAGCCAATTTTGGGTTTAGGCCTAATTTTGTAGTTTTTCTTGTGGGATTCATTCCATTAGCGCGTATTGATGGTATTGTAT